CACTATTATTTTCTATTATTATTGTTTCATTAAAGCTGTTGTAGTTTTTTTTTTCTTCTCTAACCCGAAAGTCTCTCTGCTTCATTCCCTTTTCCTTCCCATTTAGGGGGGAAAGAGGGGGTTAGAGAGCGTCTGTTCGCGTCAGTGGCCGGCCCAGCCCTAACCCACGACACTAACTGACCAAAGAAACACACCAACTCTGACATATTCACAAATATAAAACTGCAATTCTATTAACAGAAGATTACTTTTGTAATTTGTTATTTAAGTAACATACTCTGTTTTGCGTTTGTCCTAAATCAGGTCTAACGCTTACAAAGCTAAAGGAAAAAAAAAAAGCTAAAGGAAAAAAAAAAAGCTAAAGGAAAAAAAAAAAGCTAAAGGAAAAAAAAAAAGCTAAAGGAAAAAAAAAGATAAAGCAAAAAAAAAGCAAATAAAGCAAAAAAAAAGCTAAAGCAAAAAAAAAGCTAAAGCAAAAAAAAAGCTAAAGCAAAAAAAAAGCTAAAGCAGAGAATAGAGAAGTTTCAACTTAGACAAACATCTTCTTTTTTACCCCAACTATTTCACCAAGTATCTTAAATCACACATTTCACCAACATAGGAATTCCCAAACAGCTCATCAAGATTACCTACAGGACATGCAGGTAAGACAGGTGGACCACTATACCATCAAACCCCTAATTTGAGAGAGCAGGAATACCAAGTGTTCAAGTAAGAAGTTCAGGAAATTGAGAATCATCTCAAACTAGATAGGTGATAATACAATACAAAAACTACTTAGTACAAGAAACCTAGCAGCAGCACAGAACCACTGAGACAGCCGTTCCTGAAAAATACACGTAAGAACAAAGGAATGAACAAGTCTTCTTACTTAAAATGTTTATCCTCATATTCAAGTTCCTGTGGCCAACTCTGCACTTCTCTGAAAATCTTCTTCACTGCTACCATGCAGTTCTTGATGAAAAAAAAAGACAACAAAAAAAAAAAACCCCAAACCAACCAAGCACTACACAGACTGTAATGCCACATAGGGAAAAATTTCTGAAGAGGTATTTACATTTGCAAGGTCAGAAAATGTTGGAAGCTACAAAAATAGTTTACTCAGGAGTTCAATCTTCCCTTTATTTGTTTTGTACAGCTAGGGAAATAAAGGTACAATTCAAATCAAAAAGATGTTGCCTATTGACCTTTCTTTGACTGTTTTTGAAGTGAACATTCTTTTCTTTTAATTGCTTTAAAGTCGATACTAATTGTAACATCTTTCGACAAAATTTACTTTCCAGGAGAACTGGCCAGGCATGAAGAGGGTTTACACAAACCAAGGGTTCCACTTGTCATTTACTGGAAACAACCTTAAGACTATTACAGAAAGACAACCAGACATCTTTGATCAAAGCCAGAGCTAACACCTATTCTTAGAAAATGAAGGGAAGTATATAAAAAAACCTGTGAAATACAAACTCAAATATTTGCCTAACTGTATCTATCTTCATCCTACTAAGTAAAGACAGCAGTTCATTTTCCCTAAAATTTCAAATACGTAAATATTTTCAAAAATTTAAATCCTTAATAACCATAAATGCATGAAAGGTATCTGAAAGTTTACTGTCTCACTTCAGTTTTAGAACACTGAATCAAATAACATTGTCATACTACAAAAACATGGTCAGCTAAAATAATTCAGAAAAATGTTAAGCATAATAGAAAATACTTTTTCTGATCACCAGCACAGCAAAATGTTTACTGTAAATCAGAATAATTTCTGAAAACTTGTTTTTGTTGTTGTTTTTTTTTTTATAGCTAAAAAACTTGAAAACAGATTAGGGACTTAAAAGTAGTACTCAGAGAAAAGGGCAGAGTCAAAATGACTTCCTTTAAGTACAGTGTAAAAAATCTGGTTCAGCAAAATGCCAGAATGTATTATCTCTGCTAATTCAAAATGCTCAGTAGCTAATACTGTGAAAAAGAAGAACATAACTAAGGCAAGAAGGAAAAACATAACTAGTTGGATTTTTCAGGGTAATGTTTAAAAACGTATCGTTACTCACCACTGATTTATGAACTTAACTCACAAACACTGTGGTACATAAAACAGACCTTGGTTTTTAAAAACGTTTTAATGTTAAATTAAAAATTTACACAGAAAATTCTACTACATTTGTGCTATTCAAACACAAAGTCCCATTAGGCTAAACTTCAAGAAACTTCTACCTAACTCATGTTTTCTTATGAAAAGTGTATCAAAAAATCAACAGCTAGTAGTACCACAGAGAGCAGAAACAGTCATTTAGGACTGATCTGAAGATGACTTCTCTGTTTCATAATAATAAGAGACATCTTTTTATAGAAAGAATTCTAAAAAAAAATCATTACGCTCAGCAATTACTGCCTTACTCTAGACTGACTGTTCTGCTTTAGAGTCATTGATTCAGATGCCTTCCTTTTGAAGGGGTCCAGCTTTCATCTCTGCACTTCAGTCGGGCAGTGTTTTAAGACAACTCTTGAAGACAGAAGAAGCCATGCTCTCCGAGTTTCACCCTTCATTCACTATGTCATCTGTTAATTTGAAGGAATCAGCAATTTAAGACCTTTATTTTGTCTAACAGTAGACAAGATTTCAGCTTTTCAAGAAACCCCTAACATTCGGTAGCAGTTGCCTCTTCATATGCCTCGTGTAAATCAAAGTCATACATCAGAACAAACAGTTGTTGAAGGAGCCAAAAGAAAAGATGACTAAATTGTCCCAAATGGAACAAAGCAGCCTTCCTATTGCAGCTTTTGCCTAATTTTTTTGTAAGTTTTGCCAGAAAAAAAAAATTAATAAATAGTACTATGAGTCTTCCATAACCATCACATTGTAAGACCACAAGGACTGTTTGCCTTCTGCTAGTGGGTGCTTGATGATATACGTAAAAAATATCCTTTCAAAAGGGAACTTTTTCCTACATGTGCTCTCTGAGGTCATATAGACTCTTAGAAGGACAGGCTGCTTCCTAGGCCTTTTTAACTCCTCACACTAGGGGGATGTTCTCTCTCTTAAAGGAATTAGCAGAGAAAGTCTTTTAAGTAAACTATTGTGTAAGAACTATATTGCAGAAGTACTGAAGTACAGTCTGCATAATCTCCTTTAACGGAATTTAAGGCCAATTAGACATACACTGCTTAGGATTGGTCTTGGTATCTTCCATTCTGCTTCAGAACAAGGAATCAAAGCAGCTTTCCTTTTCTTGAGACTACAAAAAAATACGACCGCTTCTCTATCCTACTACTTCACATACTCATATTTAAAATAAAAATTTTTCTAAGACTTGACTTCACTTACTTAAACTGTGACCTTACCAAATCCCTCATTTTATATCAATCACCATTATATCCTATGCAGTTATTCAACTTTTAAAATATGTACAGCTTACACTCTAACTTCACATCCAGACTCCCGCAGGACATAGTCCACTTCCTTCTTAAGTCCACATGAATCTATGAATATTTGAAAGCACACCTAGAGTTATCCACGGACATAACTTCGACCAGAAATTTATCACTGCAAATAATTATTTCTAATATCCAGTGAACTGTATATATATAAATTTTCAGAAGCAGACTCACAAAGTGAGGAGATTCATTCTTCTACACTTACAAAGCCTAAAGCTGCAAAACCAGAGAGCCTAGCCAAAAAAAACCCCACAATAGAATCACAGAATGCAGAGTTGGAAGGGACCTTTAAAGGTCATCTAGTCCAACCCCCCTGCACTGATCAGGGACATCTTTAACTAGATCAGGTTACTCAAGCCCCATCACACCTGACCATGAATGTCTCCAGGGATGGAGCCTTCATCATCTCTCTGGGCAACTCCACTGCTGGCAAGGTCTCACCAGAGCAGAGGGGCAAAATCACCTCTCTCGATCTGCCGGCCACGATAAAGACTACTTGAACCTGTCATAGGCTATTATCCCCTTCCCATGAATAAAAATACTGAAAAGAGGAAAACACAAAAGAGCAGAGAACCAAGGGAAAAAGTGTTCTGCATTAGGCTCATTAAATTTCACAGTTAGCTTTATTATGGCAGAGTAGGTTGTAATCTGACTTTCTGTTGTTATACACAGCTCCTGCATAAGGGAGTGATTTATATATGCAGCATTAACAACAAGATGCCTGTGAAACCGATGAGACACTGAGGAGGTCCACATCTGTTACAAAACCACGTAACTTGCATGATCAGCTGACATTAGATAACGCACTCCATATTCAGCATGCTGTACCATGGTAACTGACTCTCTTCCATAAAAGGCCAATTTTTATTGCAACAAGCACTAACGCGTGTTCTTACCTTTTTGTATCCTCTTGTAATAAACTAAAAGTTCAGTAGTTCTATTCCAATTCAGCTACAAACACAGGCAGTGTTAAAAACAAAGTACAAACACACAAAAAACCCAAAGTCATTGCTCAAAATAAAAGTGGTAGAATCAGAAGAAAATTGCATCGGTACAGTCACGTCTTCAAAAAATAAATAAGGTGGTATACATACTTTTCTGCCTGGAGTTTTGTGGTTTTTACTATCAAGTCCTGGGTTTGTTCCTTTGCTGCCTAGAATACAATTAGAATCATTAAGTGTGTGAAAACCAAACATACTAAGCGTATCACACAACCTTTACAATATGTAATATTTTTAAAGCTTTCTGCCTATGAGCACATAAGAGCGTACTCTTTAAAACAAAAGCCTTTCTGAAATAAGTATTCATTAATTCTCCCTATTTTCAGGCACAAAAAATTAAAATATTCATATAGATTTTCATTTTTAATACATTATATTCACACACACAACATTAAAAACATTAGAAATGGTTACGGTTATTTCAATTGTCCACTGATTGTAAATTGCTTACTATTACAAAATGAAAAATGAAATAAAGTTCCTCTGGACATTAAACAGCCCAGTACCAGCGTCCACCCAGACATTTTAGACAAACATGAACACAGATCTGCTGGTCTAACCTAAACCTGTGGAGTTTAGTTCTGCAGTCCAAGTAACTTACAGAAGAATTGTTAAGAAAAATTTCTTCACCAAAAGGGTTTTCAAGCACTGGAACAGGCTGCCCAAGGAATAGGCTGAATCATCATCCCTAGAGGTATTTAAAAGACATGTAGATGTGGTGCCTAGGCACATGGTTTAGTGGTGGACCTGGCATTGCTGGTATAATGGTTGAATTCAATGACCTTAAAGGTCTTTTCCAAGCTAGATCCAACTCCAAGAGCAATGCACTTGAGAAGTTCATCCCAGCTTAAATGTTCAGCGATGACAATGCAAAGGAAACCATGCAGAAACAATTCTGCTACAGACAGTAGCTGCACAATTAAAGGGATTGCTGCAACTAAAGTTAAAGAGTTCTGAAACTTATCAGTCGGCAAGAAGATGAAAGACATTCGGAATTGTTGGTTTCCCACTGGATACCACCAGTGATCACTCAGGCCGAGAAGTGAGATTTAACAAAAAAATATAACCCTGAATTCAAAACGCATTCAGTGTGGGATAGTGTTGCAAGTGAAGAGGTGGAAATAGCTATAAAGATACTCAGCGTCAATAATTTCAAGATTCTAATGGGTTTAAATTACGGCATTTCCCAAAAATGAAGGTGCCAGTCTTGAAAACAATGAGAGGTCTACTGTGAGCACATATGCACACTCTTTTATTTCAGCCTTTCTATCTGCCCCACTAAATTAGTTACAGTGGAAAAGCAGTCAAAGTACAGGAACACTTGGAAAGGTGAAAGCAGGACTGCAACCACACAAGTACAACTTCAGTCATCAGAGGGAGCCTGAGCTGTTCCGTGAACACAGACAGTGGGTACTGCTGAATTCAGCCAGCTGCTGAATTTTCTAGAGGAAACTATTACATTAAATTTCCATGCTAGTATAAAAATTCAGCAGAATTTACTTAACTTTACTAGTTCCAAAGTAATCTAATAATATTTGGGGGGGGGTTAATGTATTTGTATTTTAAACTTTTTTGTAAATAATATTTTCAGTGCATGAGCCTAACAAAAAAAAAAACAAAAAACAAACCACTATTACAACAAAAAAGTAGACCTGAACTTCCCCCCACTCCCTCCTTCTTTCAGAGATGCAGATTTTAATACACAAAAAAAGCAGAAGGAGGAATTTGCTTCCTTTCCAGTAATTTCTGGACAGAAGTACTAAGTGCCAAGAAAAATGCCAACAGCAGTAAGGAAGGAAAAGCAGCTTCTCTGGATCTAGCTAGTTATATCAGAAAGCCAGTCTTTATTTATATACATTTAAACACACATTCCTGTAGCGTAAAAGCCTACATCTAACCAAAACATGGGAACTGGCAGAAGAGTCAGACACGCCAGAAAAATTAGACAACTGATATTTGATATTTGATATTTCTTGCAGATCCAAAACAGAAATATTTTTGTCTTCCTCCCCACCTCAGTATCCTAATTAACACTTTCATTATCCTTCAGCTTCCCTTTACTCCATTCCAGCTCCTGCCTCTTTCTCTCCCTTTCAGCACTGCATTTCTAAAGTCACTGCCTCGAAATCAGATTTGATTTATCTGGTTATCTGGATTGGATGGTATTAAAGGCAACCTGCTTTTTGGCTTATCAATATAGAGTCCCTTTCATATCTTGTATTTGTTCCGCTCTCTTGGCATACCTTTCTGTCTTACATGTTATACATTCTCCCCTTTATATCTTCTATTTGCTCTACTCTTACTTCATTTTTGTCTTCTAACTCAGCTTGAGGATGTGCTTGCAAGTCTTCATGTCCTTTTACAGATAAAACACCAGAGTATTTGACAACTGAGTGCTAGTTCATCGGCTAATTAAATTACTTGTATTCATACAGACAAAGAAAACATGAGTTGAATTGAGACAAGTTAGGAGTTCTTCGGGGCTCTAGAAGAAACCTCATGCGGGGCACAGAACAAAACTATCTACTGACTTTAATAGGAAATGAAATCACTGCAGGGTGGCTCTACTCTGGGAAAAAAAAATTATCAGAGATGATAGTTACACTTCATGATCTAAAGACAGAAAAGAACAAAAATCTGCATGGACACTTCACTCATTTCCACATCTAAAGAGTTTAATCAAACAGTGCCTGAACTGCACTATCCACATTAATAATGTTCAAAGCAATCCCAAACCTCCGAGGTGCGTTACCCATCGCCTTCTGAAACTAAAATTTAAGTACTGCAATAGGCTACACTGTACTCCCACACTTTTTGGAACAAGTCCACTGAAGTACACGCACTCTTAGGGGAATTACACAGGACGACCATGAAACCTATTCATCTATATAGGGCAGCATAGGAAGACCACACACACACATTAGGAGGGGAAAAAGCAATCGTTTCCACAGGATTTTCTAGTGAAGCACTGCCACTTATATGCTATGTCCAAAACAGATTTGGTTTGACAAAACATCTATACTTCAGCATTCCCAAACCCTTTAAACTCATCACTGTTTTGAATATTGAATTGAACACTAAACTGAACTCAGATTTAGTAGCACATTATAAAAAAGAACCTTTTTCCCCCTAAAATATTATGGATTCAGGATTAATACGCAACAGAATTGGTTTTGTTGTGTGTCAGCATTTTGAGACAATGTTACGAAACAAAACCAATAGAATGAAGACGGCACAGTAGATCTGCCTCTCTCTTTGGATCACAATATGCCTTCTTATAAATACACTTGAGGTATTTGTGCGAACATATAACAGATGTAGTTACTGTGAAAGGCACATAAATTTCAACAGAAATACTCAAATGCAATTAACCCTTTAATCTCACACACACATCGGATCTGAGTATTTTCTCTCCACTCACATAAAAAATGATGTTATACTGCTATTCTCAAAGTAAGTGCATTGCTGCTTTGTGAACTCTAATTTGAAAGAAATTTTTTTAAAATTACATCCTCAATGTATTTTCAAAGTAAGTAAAAAGGAACATATTAATATCCTAAAGTAACATAATACACATGCTATGGAAACATTTGGGGGTTGCTGTTAGTCCTCCAAAATAATCATTTATCCTTTTAGAAGAAAGCAGTCGTACCTCAAAAAGAAAAATACACAGAGGACACATATTTGTGTATTACCTTCAAACGAGTGGACATGTCTTCACAGCAGCTGCTCATCGCTTGCACATCTTCATTTATACTCTCAAGCTCCTAAATAAGTTCAAACAACAGTAACTGTGGTTTAAATCAGAAATGCCATGCCTAAGCCCAGCTTCATCCCTCCAAAATGAGATGCCCAAGTTACAAGGAACATAACCGCTCTAAGGTCCTTACTAATCAAGGGAGAGGATGCACCTCTAAAGATAAACGTCCACTTGGGATTTTTATCTGTTTGAAACATCACCTCCCTCCACTCAGGATTTTCACCAAATGAAACAAATGATTAAATAATTTTACTGTAAAAGTATATTTCTCTCAGAAAGCCCGAATCTCTCTTAATCCTTTTATTCCTTTTTTAAACTTTAAATTACACAGTAGCACCCTTGTGAGTTAGTTAGTCATATTGTAAAAATACTACCTCTTTAACTTGCTTGAATATGTGGACAAATTCTTCATTTATGGCTAAGCTTCGCCTCTCAATGTCTCCACGTAAGTTTCTTCGGGTGCGCAAACTGTTCTCGACAAAAAACGTCGAGAGAGCCTTGAGTGCTTCCAGCATTTCCTAGAAAATAAAAAAGACCTTAACTTCCCACACACTAACAGAGATGCAGGTTGCATTGTCTGTAATTACCCCAAATGCATGATTTTAGGGAAAAAAAAAAAACCAAACTACTACATGGCTTCAGGAAAAAAAAACCAATTATCTAAACACACTAGAGGTCTGTTTGTAAATAACCAAAATAACTGCTGAATCTTTCTTTTTCTAGCAGTTACAACACACACAGTTTTGCCTCCTGTTTCAGAAGAGCTCAATCAGCATCACCACTTACGGTTAAATCATGACCTATCGACAGCCAGAAAACACTCAAACCAGGAAAAAAAGCTTAACAAATGCCCTCCGAGCTAAGCGACACGAACCTCCCGGCGGCTCGAAGGGAACGAACAGGTGCGCGGCATGTCCCCGGCGAAGCAAAAATGAGTTTTCATTTTTTTCCACTACAGCTGCAAACGTCAGCTTGCGGCTCCGCAGCGGAACTGAGGCTACGGCCGGGCTCGCTTCCCAGCGCCGGAGCCTATTGGGCCCCTGCGGCCCCTGACGGCTCATCCGGCTCCTTTCCCGTAG